CACCTGGTGGACGCATCACGGATGGAGTGTCGGCATGCATAAGGAAGGTTCAATTGCCATTTGCCAACCTTAGGTAGCTGTGGTACTGAACTGAACTGGCGTATACGTATATTTATTGAAAAACGAGAACCATGGTTTTCGTTTTGTTTTTCCATAAACTAGTACGGTCGGTTTCATTCCGACAAGCACCTTACTGTTAACCTCCATAAGGACGTCGCCTGGTCCTTTTGCGCAAGACAAACAAACTAAAGGCCGGACTTTATTTACCTTGCAGTTGTATAGATCCCAGCTCACAGTAACACCGACTACTCGAGTTGCCATCCTGAGTATTGAACACCCGAAAAGTAGGTTCTCGTGACAATCAATCGAGTCCAAATACGTTGCACATTTGGCTACAATCAATTACCCCATCACATAGAGCTAAAAGTACACAATAGTGAAAGATCATTTCTCTGTTACTTGAAAGCGGTGTTTACTTTCAAATTCATATGTCCTGTGATACTCACAAGATGAACTGCATGTTAAATAATGGCTCAATTGTCACCGACGGCTCTCTATCGCTTATTTCAGCTTTTAAAGCTACAAGTACATCACGTTTGGAATGTAAGCTTTGGTTGTTAATTTTTACGTTACACCTCTGAGAGTGGAGTCATCACTTTTTAAGCGTTGCAAATAGACACGACAATCACGTTGAAATCGAGGGTATTAGGTGTCAACTGTACGGGTAATATATTGAAATTCAGCAAAATCCCATAGGTCCAACAACTAATAAATCTTGGGAATTGCTTTTTCAACCCAAAAGCTAGAAAACCTCACCTGAGACATGACAAGTTTACTGTATGTGCGAGAGTTCTTTTTAGGACTTTAGGTTCTCAAACCATTTAATTTGTGAAGTGTCAGTGAATTAAGACAATCTGTCAAATAGGTGAATTTAGACAGGTCTGGCCTCACTGATTTTCCGCTCAGATCACAAGCGAATTGTGGTTTCCGAAGGATAAACAAATTCGACAAACTATTGGAGAATGAGGGGTTTTAAATGAGCAATTGAAGCCATCGGTCGTTTGATTTTTTGTGTAAAAGTATGTGAAGAAGAGATTAACACCCAGTATTGTTTCTTTTGGTATCAGGTTGCTCCAAAAGCCAGGATATTTGAATGTGTGTTTATATACCAGTTGAAACGATGCACTTCATGTGTTGGTCACGTTGTTTCTTGCACTGTGAACTGGACAACTTAGAACAAATTTCGTTCTCCTATA